TTCCTATTATTCTCATATCGCTTAATCAGTAATTCCCAGGCAGCATCGTAATTGTTGCCTGAGCCAAGCAATAAATGGGAAACCACATTTCGTGCTTCCCCTTTTAGAGCACTTTTAAGGTAGCTTAGCTTCAAGGATGGACTTAAATCCATCCTTGAATGAACCAGCTCCTTAAACAACTCATAAAAATGGTCCCAATCTTTGGAATTTCCAGAAAAATTGGGAACCTCAATTTTTGGTAGGCTAGGTAGTTCGTCCATTCTAGGGCTACCACCTTCTACCTTGTTAGGAGTTTTTTCTTGGATTTTATTATCCATTAGCTCGATGTGTATTTCCACATCCTCTTTGAGCTCTATAATTTTGCTCATATATTTATTATTGAGCCCTTCAATATTTATTAAATCGGACACTGTATCGATTTTACTAAGAAACATTCTTAATTTTTTAATTCTTATAGGAAAGGTTTCATTTTTCCTTTCCTGAATCTCCACATAAGTTATCTCGAGGTAATCCTCGAGGTTCTTTATAGCCCCCTCAAGCCTCAAAAAAAGCTCATCCTGGCCAATATATTTTTTAATTTTGTTGCTGGCGGGCTTAATATTTGATAGCATGCTTTCGAAGTGATTTTTTCGGAAATAGTCATGCTCTACAGGACCGAGTTGAACCAAATGATTATGGTTGGTAAAGACTTTTTGCTCCAAATTTTTTAATGCCTCCCTATCCTCTTCTGTATATGAATTTTTTGCGAGAGGCGCACCTGGTCTTCGATAATTGGAATTTTATCCTTAGTCGACATTATATGTTATTTTAAATTAAATTAAGTTCAAAAACTAAATTCAAGTGTTTAATATAAAATATAAAAATAAAAACGAAACTTGCCGAGGACTACTTTCTAATTATTGTTGCTGATGTTGTTGCTATTGCCGCTGCTGCTTGTGATGTTGTTGCTGTTGCCGCTGCTGCTCGTGATGTTGTTGCTGTTGCCGCTGCTGCTCGTGATGTTGTTGCTGTTGCCGCTGTTGCTCCTGATGTTGGGTTGCCTTTCTCGATGTCGCCGTTACTATTGTTGTGTTACTATTGTTTTTGTATGTTTTTTGTGGACGTTTTTTAGTTTAATTTTTGTGGATGTGTTTTTTTTTTTTTTTTTTAACTTTTTAACTTTAACGGTTGTTGGTGTTGGTTTGTTTATTTTTGGTGTATGTTTGTTTTTATTATTTTGGCGGATGTTGCTTGGGGGTTTGTTTTTTGGGGTTTTATTTTATTTAATTATTTTTTGTCGCTGACAATCACTTTTTTTTTTTTATTTTTTAACTTTTAACTTTTCCGATGTAGGGCCTCGGATACGCCAACACATATATATATTTTTTAACTTTTCCGATGTAGAGCCTCGGTTACGCTAATACACAAATACTTATTCGGTTATTTGCATATGATTTTTTATTCCGGATTGGTTCCGGGATAAACACAGATTTTTTAAAAAAAATTTTTCTTTATGCTAATTGGCATTTATATTATTTTATACCCTGTGTTCCTTACCTCTTGGGGGGAAACAACAGGGGACTACGGCTTTTAAACTGGGTTCTTTTTTACCCAGGTCGCAGCCTTATTTTTTAGCTACCTTGGGCTGAGAATTTTTATTTTTCTTCAGCCACTTATAGGTGCCAGTCTTAAACCTGAGTCTCTTACCACAGGGGGGAAAACTACAGGCTGTCTCAAAGGACCAAATGTTAAGAGGAGCCCCAAAATAAAGGTCGTACTCCAATGAGTTCCGTTTCAAAACTGATTTTATTCTGTACAGTTCTCTTTTAAGTAGGATACATGAGAATCTTAAATCTATTTAAAACTACGAAACTGCACGTACTGCGCGCTTAACTGCTATGCGACCCTTTCTCAAGTCTTATCGCACAACCTAAGTACATATTTGTGTAGGCTGCAGGGGATCGGTTTTAGACCATGCTGCTTATCTCATATTTCCATGGGACCGATCCCTTGAAACTCTATCTTTGGAATTTGTATATAAAATAGTGTTCAATGCTTGAACACCAGCAAAATGGATCGAGTTGACTGCGCGGCAGTGGCCATCAGCACTGTTGTGGAATCGGAAGGTTGAGCAGGATCGGAGCGTTCCAATGCTGCGTTCTGAGAAATTGGTGATGAGCTGGTATACGTCGTGGGGAAGTGAAGCCGGGTATGGTAACGATGTCCGCATTGTAAACAGTTCTTGTTGCTGCCACACTGCTAAAAGGGATGATTGATAGGCAATAATTCGTTTGCGGGCAAAGCAATCTTTGGACAAAAAATCAGGACATCGCCGCAGAATGTGCTATAGTTTATGCAAGAGATGGGACTGCTGGATCCAGTCGTGGTGTGGAACGTGCTGTACAAGGGCAAGGAAGCCGGAACCCTTTTGCTTGGGATTCTGGCGTGTATAATTTGTCGAATGGTTGATCGTAGAGTTTTGCGTGGGTTAGGTTTCCGGTTCTCAATGATGTTCATGCTGATTGTGGAGGAAGGTGCTGAAGTCGAGGAAACTCGGAATGTCACTGGAGTTTCCCAAGCAATGTTCCCAGGCTTATACAGTTGTCGTAGGTAGTCTAGAGATCAAATGATGGACGATTGAACTCGTTGATGCATACGTTGGTTAGGTTCAGCATATGTTTGATCTTTGATGAGCTTTCCCTTGAGATAAAGGGTAAGTGCGTTCATGTGGTGAATGAATTGTAAACGTGAGTTGTCTTAGAGTTTGATGATTAGATCCCATGCGATGGTGTAGGCACCATCCAGTAGTTCCATTTGGTGTACTGTTAAGTGCCAGCAGCTTTTTGCTACATATGGCCAAACGAGGATGGCATATACGTGCCCCGGCTTTTTACCATAATTTTATTGTCTTACAGTTTAATATCTTGCGTTTGGAAACTCTTGCGGTTCGATCCAGTTGCATCGTCTTTTATCCCGCTCTTTTTTAATGCTTTTTGTTATTCAATGCTTTTTGTTGTTCAATGCTTTTTGTTGTTCCAAAGCGGTAATATTAATTCTTCCAATCCAACTCCTTCCATTTGGGCATAAGCATCGTAACAATACTGCTTTCGTATTCGGCAAAATAAAAGAAAACATTGTTCGATGGAAGTGATCCCGATTCCAGTTATTTTATTCAACACATCCTTCAATACAATAACTGCTTTCGCATGACTTCCTTTGGAGCTAATATTGTTCGAGAAGGCGGCTTCATGCCGACTTGCAAGGTAAAAGATATAGCACACAAAACCACCCTTCAGTACCAAAATTCCTTACCCCGACGTTTCCTGGCGACATGTTCGAAAAACAAAAACAAATTGCATGGGCTTCGTTTACTCAAGTCCGAAACGAAAGGGGAAACGAAAATTCTACCTGCTTTCGGTTTTCGACGATGATTCTCGAAGCTTCGACGTCATATATTCGATGATTCTCGAAGCTTCTACGTCATATTTTCGGAGCAGCGGCACGCGACAGAGAGACAATTAGAGAGATGTAGATGGAGGGAAGGGAGAGAAAAAAAACCTGCGTCGAAAACCAAATGAATGGAAGCGACGTCAGAATACCCTTTTTAAAATATGTTGAAATATTTTTATATATTTAAGATTATATTTAATAAATTTTTCTTATCTAATCATATGGTATATTGAAATGTATTAATAATTTGCTTTAGGCAAAGCCAATATGTTCATGTTTGATTATTAGCCTTGTACGATTCTAATTACAAGGCATTGCGTTGGTCGACTATACCCTGGCACGCGCCAGAATTATCGGTTGTCAATTTTCGGTTTCGTCTTGCCTCTCCCCTTCTCTTTGCATTTGATGTTAAATTTGCACCAAAAGCACACGCGTTTGTGAAATAAAGTTTAAGTGACCAATAAAATAATTCTGGTGAGTAAAATTAAGAATTAGCCGGGGTTGCTAATTCTGTATAAAGACACTTTTAGTTTTTAATGGTTGCTTTATTTTACTCACTAGTTCCAAGTTCCCAAGTTCCAAGTTCCAAACGCTCAGAAAATTAGGGGAATTCCTAAAAAATCTTTTTAAAATTGCAATGCATAGAAATGCTAGCATTTTCATAGCATAGCAAAGGATGCTGTAGAATAGTATTGCTTATCCCATTGCTCTCGCTGCTCATTTTTTTTTTGCAAATGCTCATGCATACGGAGTTGTGTGTGACTGCTCACGCCATAAGGTTCCGTTGCTCACGCCATAAGTTTCGTTGATCCCAGCAAAGGCAAAGGGAAATTACAATAACAATTTTTCGTGTTTTCCCTATTCTCCTTAATCGTGCTAATCCGAATGCGTTTTGTTGTTGGAGTGCCGAAAACTTTTCACTGCAAGAAATTCATTCTAGGTTTTGTTTCTACCAAAATGGTCAACCTAAAGCGATGAGCTTCTTAGCAGAACATTTTTTTGCTCACGCCATAAGGTTCCGTTGCTCACGCCATAAGTTTTGTTGATCCCAGCAAAGGCAAAGGGAAATTACAATAACAATTTTTCGTGTTTTCCCTATTCTCCTTAATCGTGCTAATCCGAATGCGTTTTGTTGTTGGAGTGCCGAAAACTTTTCACTGCAAGAAATTCATTCTAGTTTTTGTTTCTACCAAAATGGTCGACCTAAAGCGATGAGCTTCTTAGCAGAACATTTTTTTCGGTTCGGCAGAGTTTTCGGTTTTGGTACTTACATATACACTAACAGCAACGGAAAATGAATATGTGCAAGTCTGAAGTCAATAGATTTATAATGGAGTTTGCTTAGGAACAGACAGACATACATGGACGGATATGCTTGTATCGATTTAGATAGTGATTCTGATCAAGAATATATATACTTTATAGGGTCGGAGATGTATTCTTCACTGCTTCGCCACTTTTGACCAAAAATACCCATTGAAAAGGTAACTTAAATATATGTTTGTTCTGGCCACGCTAACTCGTCTTTCAACGACCCCGAAAATGTAACTAACATTCAGCAAAAAAATTAGTTTTTGTTCCTTAATTATTTTTGTTTATTTAGCAAATTGATTTTATACAAAACGATACACATATAAGATAAATAAATGTTTTTTGATTTACTCGTTATTTAAGAAATTGCTAAAAGGACAGCCAGATTTAGCAAAATGATTAATCCAGCCACTTTTTTGTCTGCTTTTTGCACAGCTGCTGGCTGATAACCTTTAGTAAAAGATGTACATAGTTATTAATAAAGTTAAAATAAGAAAGGAAAGTTATCTTCGGAGCCGCGCCGAGCCGAAGTTTATATACCCTTGCAGCTTAGATCGGATATACACCGCAACTAACGGATATAGTTATCCGATCGTTAGAAGATTTATTTTTTTAATGTAAATATTTATTTAATTTCTAGAAAAGTCAAAAGAGTACAGAATTCCAAAGTTTGTTAATTTTTGATCTTTCAGATTAAAACTTGGTTAAATTTTTATCTTTCATTTTTGAAAGGAAGTTCGATGGCCCTTATGAAATTTGACAGGTCATATCCGTTGACCCATCCCTCTGTTTTTAGAAACATAATAATTTTGGCATTTCCAACTAATTAGTTGGCTGTTAATCGGACGATCCGACTTATTTAAGGCGTACAAAGGAAAGAGTTATGTATGCCTCTTTCCCTTTCTCATGAGTGACTGTAAAATGAGTGACTAGTTCGGGTAGAAAAAGACAGACGGACCGACAGACAGACGGTTAAATGATGGTTACATGACATGGTTACATCGACTCAGGGGTGGTCCTGATCGAGAATATACATACTTTATAGGTTCGGAAAAGTCTTCACTGGGTTGCGCACTTTATACCTCTGCAAGGGTATGAAAGAAAGGTATTACCTTGCAATATATGCACATTAACCAATATTGGATTTGCATTTGACGGCAAACAAGAATATTTTCCTGAATCAGATGTTTTGGCTCTTTGTATCAAAAGATGCGATGTAGTTATGTCTCCTTTTTCAGTAATTACAGATACTCCTCCACGTGGCGAATCATAATTTATCTCCTGAAAAAGTAAGAAAAAGGATCAAAAATGTAAAAATGATAGTTGTTTTTAAAATTGCATCAAATGCTAGAAAAAAAAATGTAACTTTGGATTATCAGTTACAAACCGTTTTGTAAAAATCATAAAATTTCGATGATTGGAATATATAATTAGTTAATTATATAATTAGTCTCCCCACACGGCAAGGGCAAAGGCAAGAAAGGCGAGACAAGGGGGTGTGAAAGCAGTCAAAGGTGTCAAGAAGGTGTTTAGAAAGTATGTCGGGGTAAGCATCAGCAGAGGAGGTAGGAGGTGGCGACTCAAAGTGCAGTGGGCCCTGGAAGTCCGCCAGTGCACCGCATAGCAACAGCAGAGGTCCGTGGCAAGAGGCGAAAAGGCACGGACGGCAATCCGCCATCGGGAATGTGACGTATTTCTGGAAGCAGGATTAATGGCATGAGCAGAATCCAGGAGGATTAACTAATTAATTAGGAACTTTAAGCAGTATATAAGGAGACGAATTGGAGCGAATTGAGACGTCTTTTTACAAAGCTTGTAACGTTGAGTTGAAGGACCGCCTTTGGAGAGTCCGACATTCAAGTGTTAGAGCGTTTCAAAAAAACATTTGGTAGTTTGAGCTGAAGGACCGCCTTTGGGGAGTCCAACAGCCCAAAAAGAGGTAAGTGTAAAGGGCGTGCTGAGAAAGGATCCGTTGCAGGACGGTTCTTCTGAAGCCCAGGGTATCAGAGTCGAGTTGGGCCATTCCCGACCTCGGCAGGTAGCCTTGCCACGAAACGAGTAAGGGACAAGTCTGGCGTTCGACTGAGTCGCGACGAACAGGCGTGATCCTGCGAGCAAGGATAGGCCGGCTCGTGAATTCAAGCCCAATGAAGAAACCGATTCACACAGTTCTTTTCTTTGCACGCAGCGTACTAGAAAGTTTAAAATATTTCTTACCAGCAAAAAAGCGGAGGGGGATATCGCGATCAAGTTAAAATATATTAAAAACTAGCGACCCCGGCAAACGTTGTTTTGGCCTTTTTTGTTTTCTATAAGGGCTAGCTGTTTTTTCTTCATTTATTTTGGTTAATAAATGTTTTTCAGTATTTCAAGTACATCCAGTATTTTCACGTACAACAAAATTCCTCTCGCCAATATTTAACAGTTGTTTAGAGAAAGGATGGATCCTGAAGCATTTGATCGCGCATATTCTTGGTCAGTTCTTTTTCAACATTACGCCACAGTTGCGATGATTTTAAGCAAGCATTGAATTCATCAGCGTACGTTAACCGTGAACACCTGAAAGGAGTAACAAAGGGCCGTAAAATAGTTTATCATTGTTCATTATATCCCTAAATGACCAATCCAATTCCCCAAGCGAATTTTTACGTCCTATAGTGCATTCATCCAAAATATGGGCACTATGCCCATAGACGATTGTTTTTATGTTGCACACTGCATCTGGATTATTTTGAATGTTCAATGACAGCTTAAGTACTGAATGAGCTGCTATGTCTCCATCTAATAAGGTTGCTGCAACGCCAGAAGATGCAATGGCCAATGCGTTGCCATTTTTTTTCAATCGTAACTTGGCAGGAAGAAGCGAAATAAGGAATGTTCACTTTGGAACTTTCACTTTGAATGTTCACAATAATCACTTTGGAATAAGCAGAATTTTCAACATCAGGCTCTTACTGGAATGCTAGTCGAAGAAATTGCCCAGATGTGAATCCTCGATAAACTTGTTGCCGTTGTTAGTTAATTCTTCTTCTAACTATTAATCTGTGCGCTTCTCTTCTTTGAAAAGTGGTCTTTGTTGATTATGTTCATCTCGTGCATCTTTCGATTGTGATTCACGTAACTGCGCCATGCTTATGCTTTTCATTACCTTTATAAATTTGTTCTCCTGATCTCGTATTCTTCTATCTCGCGCAGCTCTAGAATTGACTGTTTGATGACTAACGCCCGATTGCGTTTTCTTGGCATTGGTGACTGTAGATAAGTAATCGGCGGACCCCTATTTCAGGGGCATATGACACACACATAAATGTACAATACGTTACGCTCACAGTCTACTTATTGTTATTCATTACTATCAAAGCAGCCATTTCGGAGGAGTATAATTCCCGTTGTCGAACGGGATAAAAAGTATCCTATGTCCGTCTGCTGGCTCTAAGCTACCTCCCTACCAATTTTCAGCCAAATCTGTTCTGCCGTTCTTGAGTTATAAGTGGTGTAACTAACACGACTTTCTTTTATATATATAAGAAGATGATAAAAAAAAACACCATTAGAAAAAAATTAAAAAATATTTAACAAAAAACTGCAACGACGCAATAAAATTTTTATAAAATAAAACTTACTCAATTTCTTTGTGAATAGCCTTGGTGCCACATGGAATGCAATGGACATTCCTAAACCTTTTTTTTATTACTATGACGACCCTTTTTTTATGAAAGGAAAGTTAACTTCTGGCGGAGACGAAGTTGATATACCTTTGCTGTTAAGATCGGATACATATCAGAAATATAGAAGGACATGCGGTGCGTCACCCGTGTAGTGCCACAGTGATATAGTTGTCCGATCGTTAGAGAATTCAGCCGTAGCAGTCTTGCAAGCTGTAACATGTCGGGTCTTGCCGCCGTCTATAATTTGTATAAGCTTGGAAAACCTAAACGAAGTACCATTTATGATGTCAAAATTTCATTGCTGCAATCTCGACTGTATCTCTCATTTCGTTCTTGGTTGCTTAGCTTATCTATGTAAAGCGTTGAGCGGCGCTCGCATTATTCTCACTGTCCCCATTGATTTTCGATTTTTTGAGACTAATTGTTTAAATAAGCTTAGATATAAAATCAAAAAATAACTAAAATATCGGGATTATTCTTGGTAGGTAATTTCGGAACATTATTTTGGAGTTTCTGAAAACGGTAAAAGTATAACAGTATGAACAGTAATTACATTGCAGCATCAATATCTAAGTTGTCGCTGAAGACATTCACTTAATGGGGTCAGGCACAGTGAAGCTGAATGGATATCAGATGCACAGTGGTACGCTGCCAATTAAGACTGAAAACAAAATTAAGTATGTAAAGTTTTGGTGTCGCTACTCCTGCGCAGGAAGTAATCCTGCGCTCCAATTTTCTGCCCGGCCACTCGAAGGTAGTTAATGGTAGCCCCGCTGTTTCCAGAAGTTGCCGCCGTTGGCGTTTCCCACATTCAACGGAGGCTTTTCCGAATGGCTTGAGTTCCGGTGATGTTCTCAGCTATTGTAGATTGCTATTGTCCTGCTTGCGTGATTCAGGGTTGAAAACAGTTCGCTCACTGGAATTGACAGAGTTTCCGTTCGCTCACGGAAACTATAATATGGCTTTGGAGCTTTTAAACAAGAGGTTTAGCAACCGCTGTCTTATTTTTTAAGCGCATGTGAAGGATATTTTGAATTTAAGATCAATAAAAGGGACATCGTTGAGAGGATATTTCGTAAGCTGTTCGTTAAAAACAACGCGTATATGGGAGCCCTATCTAGCATGGGCATTACTCAGCAAATTTCGGGAGGCGTCAATGCCCAGATGCTGCTACAGAAGCTGTACCCATCGACTTAAGATAAATGGAACGAGATGCAGGCGCAACAGGAGACGATGGACAGCATTCAGAGGAACAAAGGTGCCGCATTTTAGAAAACGTAAATTTCTCGATGGTCCCACGTGGACCATTCCAGTTGAAAAGTCGAAGGCCACAATTGATCGTCTGTTTTTTGTTACTAGAGCGCCCTCTTCCGTATGACTGTTAAGTGGCAAAGCCTTCAACCTGATCCAATCTTGCCCTGGCTTCATTAGAATACTCTTCGAGGGCAGCATAGACGAGATAGAACGTTTTGGTTTATGTCGCACATGTCTAAAGAGTTGTCATTTAACTTGAGTCTGCAACGTATCGAAGCATCCGAGGTTCCATTCTACGTCTCCTTCTTTAAAGTCCCTTGTTGGGAAGGATTGTATTAGAGATGTTTCTCATCTTCTATCCAGCGCCAACATTCTGGTGATTAACCGCTATGTGCTTTCAGCAAAACCTAATTACCCCGAGATAAGCAACTAAACTGCAGCTTCGCCAATTTAAATAACTATCTGGCATAGGCGATGCTGGAATAACATCAAATCGACTCTCAATAAGCTTTGGTAACAGATCTTCAGTTAGGCTGCTCATGCAGTAGCGAATGTGACCCCAATGCTCACCGGCCTTCAGCCCAGAGTGGATGTAGCCGGTTGGAACGTTCCAAGCTTACGGATCATAGTTTCTATCTACCTCAAAGGAAGGATCTATTGATCTCAGATGGATTGTTTGCGGCGGCAGTGATCATTTCAGGTGTCCCTCCGAACTTCTGTCATCGGAGGTGGAGAATTCGTCGTTAAGCTTGTCAGCTAATGAGCCGGGCCTGTTTCCCCTTTGAGAAGACGTTGAAAATTCGGTGTGTATTTCTAAGGAGGGGAGGATCTAGAATCCTGCAGCCGTCAATCACTCGGGAAACTCATTTGCATTTCTGTGCGATCGTTTGCGTCTGATAGTTTACTTTCAAACTTAAAATATTAAACTTTAAGACTCTCAAAACAATTACAAAACAAACTTTTTGGTTCAAAAATTTAAGGAAGCAGAATAAAAAGCGTTTTTATCCTCTAAAAATTATTCAATGTGTCTGAATTGCATTTTTAGTTATATATTAGCCATTGGAACAGTTTGGCATCAAATAAAGGATCCAAAAACTTTTTGAAAACTCAAAACTGTCCCATAGTGGTTTCTGTGGTTATTCTACCGCTGCGTTTCCCGGTCATTGTCTATGCATACAGTGACAGACAAAAGTCGTTCACAAGCGGGAAATTGAACGCGTAATGGACAAGAGCGCTGCACCGCTTTGGGACTTTCAACCTTAACTAAAATATAATACAAATTTTCAAGCTGCATTATTGTAACTGTTGTAGAAGCTTGACCTCCCTATCTAGGCCAAGTGGAAAGAGATTCAGGCGGACGTCATTGGTCAGCGTTCCAACGTGGGAGTGAATAGGTAGCTTTTTTAAGCAACGATGCAGGACAGTGGAGAGACTTGTGTTTTAGGATAAGGATGCAAAGCGCCGGAAAGCGCAGGTACTTCAACAATAAAAATCCGTTGTTGTCGAAAATTTTGAAATTTTTCTCGGGCGGAGCTGAAGTTGATATACCCTTGCAGTTAAAACCGGATATATATCGCAAAAAGCGGATATAGTTGGCCGATCCTTATAAACACATCATAATAGAACCAATTAACTAAAATAAAAAATCTAAAAAAAGTCCCAAACTTCTATCTTCAAAACTAAGAAAGTTGATATTTCTACCAAATACCATTTCCGATCGTTCAGTTATATGGCAGCTATAGGATATAGTCGGCCGATCCTAATAAAATTTGGTAGGTTCAACTGGCCAAAAATACAACATGTACTAAGTTTCAGCTTTCTATCTTCAAAAACACGACTCAGGAGGTGATCCTGATCAAGAATATATATACTTTATAGGGTCGGAGATGTCTCCTTCACTGCGTTGCACACTTTTGGACAAAATTCCTCTTCAAGGGTATAACAAGGATACTTAGGAATCCGATATGAGAAATTATAGCTTCTGAGGATCGTTTTGGAGGAAAAGTAACGGAGTTTCATGAAACCCCCCTGTTATATTAGTATTACTATTTGTTATTATTTGAATTTAAAACAAGAAAGGAAAGCTAACTTCGGGCGGAGCCGAAGTTCATATACCCTTGCAGTTAAAACCGGATATATATAGCAAACATCGGATATAGTTGGCCGATCCTTATGATTACATCATAATAAAACAAATTACAATAAAAAAATCTAAAAAAAAGTCCCAAGCTTCTATCTTCAAAAATACGAAAGTTGATATTTCTACCAAATACCATTTCCGATCGTTTAGTTATGTGGCAGCTATAGGATATAGTCGGCCGATCCTAATGAAATTTGGTAGGTTGGATCAACTGACCAAAAATAGAATCTGTACTAAGTTTCAGCTTTCTATCTTTAAAAACACGAAAGTTGGGTCATTTCCGATCGTTCAGTTATATGGCAGCTATAGGATATAGTCGGCCGATCCTAATAAAATTTGGTAGGTTCAACTGGCCAAAAATACAACATGTACTAAGTTTCAGCTTTCTATCTTCAAAAACACGACTCAGGAGGTGATCCTGATCAAGAATATATATACTTTATAGGGTCGGAGATGACTCCTTCACTGCGTTGCACACTTTTGGACAAAATTCCTCTTCAAGGGTATAACAAGGAAACGTAGGAATCCGATATGAGAAATTATAGCTTCTGAGGATCGTTTTGGAGGAAAAGTAACGGAGTTTCATGAAACCCCCCTGTTATATTAGTATTACTATTTGTTATTATTTGAATTTAAAACAAGAAAGAAAAGCTAACTTCGGGCGGAAACAAGGAAACGTAGGAATCCGATATGAGAAATTATAGCTTCTGAGGATCGTTTTGGAGGAAAAGTAACGGAGTTTCATGAAACCCCCCTGTTATATTAGTATTACTATTTGTTATTATTTGAATTTAAAACAAGAAAGGAAAGCTAACTTCGGGCGGAGCCGAAGTTCATATACCCTTGCAGTTAAAACCGGATATATATAGCAAACATCGGATATAGTTGGCCGATCCTTATGATTACATCATAATAAAACAAATTAATTACAATAAAAAATCTAAAAAAAAGTCCCAAGCTTCTATCTTCAAAAATACGAAAGTTGATATTTCTACCAAATACCATTTCCGATCGTTTAGTTATGTGGCAGCTATAGGATATAGTCGGCCGATCCTAATGAAATTTGGTAGGTTGGATCAACTGACCAAAAATAGAATCTGTACCAAGTTTCAGCTTTCTATCTTTAAAAACACGAAAGTTGGGTCATTTCCGATCGTTCAGTTATATGGCAGCTATAAGATATAGTCGGCCGATCCTTATGAAATTTGGCATGTCGTAATGTGTTGCCAAAAATAGCTCTCATGCAAATTTGAACTCTCTAACTCTAAAAACACCAAAGTTATACCATTTCCGATCAATCAGTTATATGGCAGCTATAGGATATAGTCGACCGATCCCGGTTTCTACGCAAACTAGTCTCTCAGTTTTAAAGCTATCGTCTTGAAACTTTGCACACACCCTTCTTTCCTTTGCACGCAGTATATAAGTCGGAACGGCCGGGATCGGCCGACTATATCCTATAGCTGCCATATAACTGATTGATCGGAAATGGTATAACTTTGGTGTTTTTAGAGTTAGAGAGTTCAAATTTGACATGAGAGCTATTTTTGGCAAAACATTACGTCATGCCAAATTTCATAAGGATCGGCCGACTATATTCTATAGCTGCTATATAACTGAACGATCGGAAATGACCCAACTTTCGTGTTTTTGAGTATAGAAAGCTGGAATTTAATACAGATTCTATTTTTGGTCAGTTGATCCAACCTACCAAATTTCATAAGGATCGGCCGACTATATCCTATAGCTGCCATATAACTGAACGATCGGAAATGACCCAACTTTCGTGTTTTTTAAGATAGAAAGCTGGAATTTAATACAGATTCTATTTTTGGTCAGTTAATCCAACCTACCAAATTTCATTAGGATCGGCCGACTATATCTCATAGCTGCCATATAACTGAACGATCGGAAATGGTATTTGGTAGAAATATCAACTTTCGTATTTTGGAAGATAGAAGTTTGGGACTTTTTTTTTAGATTTTGTTTTGTAATAAATTGGATTATATATTCCTATTCCCATAAGGATCGGCCAACTATATCCGATGTTTGCGATATATATCCGGTTTTAACTGCAAGGGTATATAAACTTCGGTTCCGCCCGAAGTTAGCTTTCCTTTCTTGTTTTTTTTTGAGACTGCGATTTGAAACAACTAATAAAAGTTATAAGTTATTTATAATAAAACAAAATGTATCTCCTGGATATCGAACGCATGACCTTCTTAATAGTTAGAAAACTGAACCATTAACACATGCGGTAAAAGTTTTTGCACTAAAAAAATTAAGTATGCCTAGAAAACTGTGTAGAGTGTAGGCCGGCCTGAATAGGTTCGCCTATTTTTTTAGGTATTGTTTTATGATTTGTTTTTTTTTCACAACCAAAATATGACGAAACGGCCCTGAGGAGGTGTTGAGTACTCCAGGAGTACTGCTGTGTGCTGCTGTACTGTTCTAAGTACTGCAGACATAATTTGAGTACTGCAGGAACCCATACCCATAATATCCGTATACATAATACTAAATGTATTTGATGGATGCTATCTGTTTGTCCAGCTCTGGTTTAATCTTTTAAGATTTGTTTGATTTGATATTTGCACTTTTGGAGCTTTTCGGATGAGTTTTTTTTTATCAGAAGTTAGCTTGGGTGTGGTGAAAAGTTTCAGCCTGAAACTTTCGAGGGACTCAGTGTTTCACATTTTTCAAAATTTACGAATGTTTCTCATGGACTGATGGACTCCATAGGAACTTGCCGATAGAACTGATCATGGGAAGAAAAAGCTCTACCGATAATAGTTTTTTTTTATATGTAGTGTTTATTTTAAAATTACCTGATTATTGTGAGTCCAATGCACTGTGGTAGGTGGATCAGGAAGGTGCTTAATTACGCAAGTCAAATTAACTGTTGATCCCAAATCAATGTATATGTCAGGCCCTCCTGGAATACTTGTGATAGGCTCTAAAAGAATTTTAAAGATATAACGAGAAATTTATAAAAACGCTTGTCGGGCAAGCATGTGCAAGCATAATAATATTCTAATTATCCATAATTAGTTCTCCAAGTTTAGCTAGCACAACGGTCCACTATTTGCTCGTTATTATTATAAAATATTTTTTTTAATAAGTTTTTAAATTTGGAGTTTAATTGAACCCCGCAATAAACATTTCAATGGAACTACACCTTTAATTAAATGAAGCTATCAAAAAAGTGGTAACGTTACAACGCTTTTTGACAAAGGCATGAGCTAGAAACCGAATTCGCAATATCATCAGCAAAATAACATTGGGAAATATTGCTTCATAAATGCTAAAAAAACTCTATAGACTAAAGACTACCTTACACAATAAAGAAAAATAGCTTAATGCTGGGTGGCGCCCAAATTTGAAAATTTTATTTTTTAGTATTTACGTTTTAATTTTTTTATAGTTATCTTCAAGTCGAAAACGCTCACAATTATTCGATCCTCTTCTTGGTGCCTCAATAAATATATTTTAATAAACCTCGCAAATTAATGGTGCTAAAAACTCAGCACAGAAACAACGCAGAAATACGTTGTGGTTAATATAACATAAGTCACGTTGAAAACAAAGTAAGATATATATAGGACAGGAAAAATATGTTATAAAGTAGAGACCATTGTAATTCGAACATAAGACCCTAAATGGGTCTTGCTGTGCATATGTCGAACTACAATGGCTAAGTAATAGAGGACTAAAGTTTCTAGTCCTTCTATTAGGAAAGTTAAAATTTAAGCGTGTTAGTAAATTCTGGCTATCTACATCCCCATTAATTAGGTTATGCAAAAAAACTACACCGAGTATTGTCCTCCGATTTGTTAAGCTAGGTACGTTTATTGGTAAGAGTCTAATATTATATGATGGAAGGTGAAGATTTGGATCCCAGTTAAGACATCTAAGTATTAAATCATTAGCTACAAACCATTTTTGAAAGTTTTCAAGATCAGACCGAAGACTGCATTGGGCAGAGATGGATTTTTACTGAAGACAAAGCTTTACATCATCTGCCTACTGCAGTCCTTTATAAAAAGTTTAAATAATAAGGGGACAAGATGACTTCTTCCATCTATGACATAGGATGTCAACTCCAGTAAATTTGTGGTGGTGGTGCAACGCTTAATAAAGCCATGCTGACATGGAGATATAATCGATGAGCAAAAGTGTTGCAAGTGAGGAGTAATTAATTTTTCAAATAACTTTGGAATTGCCGACAATTTAAAGATAACTCTGTAGTTGGCAGCATCGGATTTTTTCCCTTTTTTTATGTAGGGGAATTATGAAAGTTTTCTTCTACATAAGGGAAAAATCGAGGTTTCCAAAGATAAGTTGAAAATTCTAAGAAGAGGTTTGCACAGCGCCCTGGCACATTATTTTAGCACACAGCCTGGTATTCCAACGGGGCCTGGCGGTTAAGTGGGTTTGACCTTTAGAAGATCAGATAACAATCTATTCTCGGAGGAAAACGGACAGAAAATAAGATTAGCTGATTAAATGTTGTATGCGTAAGGCTGATCTGTCAATTTAGGCGGAGAAAAGTTGTTTGCATGTTTTTTATATTTAAGTAAGAGCCTTTTTTGTATTTTTTAGGTTAGTGATGCACCTTGTAAACCAAGAAGGATTTGTTGAAGCCGACGGATATTTCTATGGCACACAGAATTCTATGGCACATATTTCTATGGCACATAGCGGACGGATATTTCTATGAGTCAAAAAACAAAGTATGGTAAAATTTTTCTAGGGTGACATTAAGATCATCAATCATATGTATCGATAAGGCTCGATACATATTGTCCGAATTTGTTCGGAGCTTGTGAAAATCAGTTTTACGGAAACGGACATCTGCTCGAACAAGAAATTAAAAGGGGAAAAAGCCTTGAAAGGGGGAAAACACGGGAGAGAGTGGTGTCATCAGGATCAGATACAAAACATAAGTCTAAAAACCGACCGAACGAATTTCTAACATGGTTAATTTGACCTGGGGTCATGTCATACATCCCCGCGGTGAAGTCATGGTGCGTGATAAGTGATAAAGTTGAGTTATCGACATTGGATCACTTTAATTCTAGGATATTTCTAGGATCCATCTCTCTATACAAGATGGTTACGATCAGTCACAAGATTAAAAAAAGGAATGAAAAGCGGAAAAATGATCACAATATGTGGCCAAAATGATTTTAATGCAAATAAATTCTAAGTCACCAAACTCTTGTGATTTCACCTCTTCAGAAGCAAAAACTTTTTCCTTTACTGTACTAGGCTGATATTCTTGGACAAAAACTGGGTGAACAAATCGTCTTAAATATTAGAGCGGGCACACGAATCTTGAAAGAAAATGTGCGCCTTGTATAATTATTATGTATATATTTAGCTATGTCCTCCACCTTTATATCAGCTTTTGTTTTGGCTTTGATATAAGATATTATAAGATATTATATATAAGATATTAATCTCTGAAGTATCAGGGGTAAGCCGAGAAACAAATATATGTTTCGATGAAGGAATCACCTGCAAGGGTTTTGGTGGCACAGGTACGAGAACTGCAGAATCAGTCGGTGCCGGTGGTCCGGACTGTGGAATTCCCTTTTGGGTGACTCTAACGGGGGTTTCATTCACTAGGACCTGTGGTATCACTTGAAGGGATGTCACGGAGGACATCTCCGACAATTGCTCATTTGTACAGCGAAAGACGTCGAATTTTTCTCAGTTCTAGCCCTTGGGGTGGCCAGAGATATGAGCGTTAATGTCGGCTGAGCAGGCTGAAGCAGTTCACACACAAATGATTTCTTACGCTTAGGGGACTCATTTAGCAGCTGAAAGCCGCTAAACTGAGTGTCAAGCGCAAAGAGGTGGTAATTTATTTTACGAAAACCAATGATCAACTATTTTTTTTTTTTTTTTTATTTTAACGTTGCTTTTATTTCTTGAATCTTCTCTTTGCGAGACTAACAAGAGGTGTATCAAATCTTATATTTTTAACTTAACTAACAGTCATATTGACTGATACGGAGTTAGACGGCCCTAAAAATCGATTGCTGGGTTGGGAGGTCGTTGCGTCTAAGGCGGGATACGCTAGAAACCCGAGTCAATCCCCGAGCGAGAAAATTTGGGTGCGAAGACAGTTTTTCTTTGTATGACTCTTTTTGCTTCTGGATTTCGTCTTTCACTGCGAGGATGCCCAGATCCCGGTGGATGTTTTCGTTGCGAACATACCAAGGTGCCCCTGTGATAGTTCTCAGGATTTTTGATTGTGCGCGCTGTATGATGTCTATGTTGCTGCTGCTCGCGTTCCCCCACAGCTGGGAGCCATACGTCCAGATTGGCTTTAGGACTGAATTGTACAGTAGTAACTTGTAGTCTAGGCACAGTGGCGATCGTGAGTTTATGATCCAGTGGAGGCTGCTGGCTTTCAGTTTTAGATGCATCTTTTTGCATTCGATGTGCTTACGCCAGGTAAGTCGTCTATCAAGGTGAACGCCAAGGTACGTTACGTCGTTAGCTTGAGGGATCTGCATACCGTTTAGTAAAAGCGGAGGGCATGTTTGTCTATTAAGAGTAAACGTTATATGTTTACACTTTTGTTCGTTTATTTTAATGCGCCAGTCGGACAGCCACCTTTCCACTATTGTGAGATGATTAGCCAGTTGGGTTGTTGCCTGCGTTGGGCATCTGGAGCGACTAAGAATAGCGGTATCATCGGCGAACGTTGACGTTGTTAGTTGTGCGCTCGTAGGAATATCCGCAGTATACAAAACATATAGACACGGCCCGAGTGCGCTTCCCTGTGGAACTCCAGCTTCGATGGTGTAGTCGCCCGAAGTAGCTGCGTTGCATCTTACTGAGAATACCCTATTGAAGAGGTATGATTCCAGTAGCTTGTGGGTGTTTGTTGGCAAATACGTTTTAATTTTGTGCATGAGTCCGATGAGCCAAACTCGGTCGAAAGCTTGAGATACGTCGAGGAAAATAGCGCTGCAGTATTCTCGTTGTTCGAAGGCTGAGCGTATTTCGGATGTTAATCTGTTCACTTGTTCGATGGTTCCATGGTTTCTTCGAAAGCCAAATTGGTGTGCCGGGATGATATTGCAAGCTTCCAGATGTGGTGTTATGCGAGTTAACAAGCATTTTTCAAACAGTTTAGACAAACAAGATAGAAGGCTTATTGGTCTGTATGATGACGGAATTGTGTGGTCTTTTCCAGGCTTCGGTATCATTATAATAATGGATTTCTTCCACTTTTTTGGGAAATAGCCAAGATTAATGATTCCATTAAATAGTTTGCAGACGACCTCTATAGCGCATTTTGGAAGTTCGATCAGCATCTTTGGGGTCAATAGGTCACCACCGGGAGCCTTTTTGGTTTTAGCCCTCTTATGACTTTTTCGATTTCGTTCGGCCGGAATGGAGGTGCGGCTGGCTGAGGGGAGGACTCTGGCTGAATTACTGGCAGGAGGAATGAATTTGAGGCTGGGTTTGGCTGGAAGACACTTTGGAGATGTGTGGCGAATGTTTCAGCTCGGTCTTCGTTGCTGCGAGCCCAGCATCCCGAAGAGTTTCTTATCGGGGTGGTCGTTTCAATTGGGGCACTAAGATTTGGGTGGGCCCTCCACAGGGGGTACTTTGTGCTTGTTGGCGAGAGATTCTGGATGTACCTCAGCTGTGCATTTTCTTCCTGTTGGTGAAGAGCCTGGTCGAGTGATCGGGTTGCTTCCTTAAGGCGTTGTTTTGAAGCTGGTGATCTGCTGTTTTGCCAATCACGACGCGTGCGCCTCTTTTCTCGCACGAGCTGTTCGATTTGCTGATTAGATTTGAAGTGTTTGTTTCGGTCTACTTCTTTCCTATGAGGAGTAGAGATTTTAGCTGCCGCAACGAGTACTTCTTCCAGGGCGCTCGTAGTGTAGTCGATGTCCGATTCCATGTTAAAATCCGGGGCGAGTTCTATGT